AGATGAGGGGGGGGGGGGGTTGAGGGTGAGATGAGGGTGGGTTGAGGGGGGTATTGAGGGTGAGATGAGGGGGGGGGGAGGGGAGATGGGGGGGGGATTGAGGGTGAGATTGAGGGGGGAGGGGGGGGGGGGGGTGAGGGTGAGATGAGGGGGGGGGGTTGAGGGTGAGATGAGGGGGGGGGGGGGGGTGAGGGTGAGATGAGGGGGGGGGGGGGGGGTTGAGGGTGAGATGAGGGGGGGGGGGTTTGATGTTGGGGGTTGAGTAGGATGAGGGGGGGGGGGGGGGTTGATGAGGGGGGGGGTTGAGTATGAGGGGGGGGGGTTGAGGGTGAGATGAGGGGGGGGGGGTTGAGAGGTTATGAGGGGGGGGGTTGAGTATGAGGGGGGGGGTGAGGGTGGGGTTGATTGGGTGGTGGATGAGGAGGGGGTAAGGGTGGGATGAGGAGGGGGTAAGGGTGGGATGAGGAGGGGGTAAGGGTGGGATGAGGAGGGGGTAAGGGTGGGATGAGGAAGGGGGGTAAGGGTGTGATGAGGGGTGGGGTGTGGAAAATATGATGAGTTATTTGGATGTATGGGAGAATCTTGTTATTGTATGTGCTGTCTTTTCCCCAACTTATGTTTATTTGATGTTCCTTTTCTATTTTTTTTTTGTATTTAAAAAGGAAAAAAAAAATCTAACAAAAAGATATAATAAAAAAAAAAAAAGAACTGCTTTAGCCTGCTGCAGGACACAAAACATTTAGGCACAGAGCTTATTTGAATATCAAAAATAATTAAGGCTATGCACTCTACATTTAAAACACACATTTTTTGCCTGCAAAAAATATGTGCATGTTTTTTCCAAGGAGCCTGCAGTGCAATCTCAGGCTCCTGCAGACTCTTAGGATTAGCTGCCTGAGAGCAGGAAGCTCAATGAACTACCAGAGCACTTGCCAGTGCCCTCATAGTTCATTAAGAAGTACAGGCTGTCAGCCACAATGGCTGACAGTACTTGTAGTCTGTGCATTCACAGGAAACTGATCATGGCCACAGTGTGTTCAAATGTGCTAGCAAGTGCAGGTAGAAGATCCCCCGCCTGCTGTCACAAGTAGGGGGGATTGAAAGAAGAAGTTGCAGATGTTCCAAAGGCGAACTTATCCTTCCAGACCCCTATTAGTGAAGACTTACCTGCTGACCGAACTCATTGCCAATAGTGGACAATTTGCCTAGGCTGCTGGAGATAAAACTGTTGAATAACAAAAGTTTTATTTTATGTAATCCTGACTGCACTATTGTTATTGGACAGTTTTCTGATTGTCTGTTATCTGCCCTGTGCTCAAGCAGACGAAAGGAAGGCCTGACCCCTGCTTCACATCTATGTGGCCGTGCGGGCATGAGAGCCTATTCATTTGAATGGACTTCCGTGCCCCGTGACACGCAGGCAAAGAAGTCCCTGCACTGCTTTGGAAAACACAGCCCACACGGGAACCTCGGGTCCCCAGTACAGGTGGCGTGTCATTAGAACTAATGGCCGTTACAAGCATGACTCCCAAAGGTAGAGGCATGATGGGACTTGTAGTTTCGCAACAGCTGGAGGGCCGCCATTTTGACACCCCTGCTATAGAAGCTGGAAATCGCTGTATCACCCCCGGTTCACATATTTGCAGCCGTGCCCCTGAATGGACTCCCGTGCCCGTGACACACAGGGAAGAAGTCCCTGCACTTCTTCTGAAAACGCAGCCCACATGGGAACCTCAGTTCCCAGTAAGGTTGCGTTTTCCAGTGCGGGCGGTGTGCCATTAGAACTAATGGCCCCCGCCTGCGGATCCGCATTCCTCTGTGCGGGTGGTGCGGCTGCACGCATTTTCGTGCAGATCCGCAGCGGCACCACCCGCACAGATGTGAACCTAGGGTTACAGCTCGACACTTCTGCCATGACAGGGAGGGAATACAAGCATATAATACAAAAATAAAGTAAAGCTTGAGAAATAAGGTCGCATTTTTATGACACTTCAAGAGTGACGCTCCTGATTTTTGGAGCTTCAAACAGCTTGTGCACAGGGCAGGAATCCATTAGTTAGACCAGAGGTGTCAAACTCCATTTCATCGCGGGCCGTATCAGCATTATGGCTGCCCTCAAAGGGCGGTTGTCTCTGTAAGTCTAGATGTCCAGAACACCCCCCCCCCATTATAGAAGAATGTCAAGAATCACACCCCCCCCCCCCGTAACATCACCATGAACCCCCTTTGAGGGCAGAGCTGGAAAGCAGAAAGTGCAGGATCTGGAGGAGGACCTGGGGAGGAGTGGAGTCAGTTACCAGAGTCTGCTAAATGCTGAGACCAGAAAATGCAGAGATTGAGGGGGTGCTGCAGCTGCACTGAGAGGTACAGGATTTGGAAGAGGAGTTCTATTCTCCTCTCTGCTGCCAAACTGTTGAGACAAGTTGGGGGGAGAGACAAGGGGGTACCTGCCGGAGAGGTGCAAGGGCCACACGAAATAGCCTGGAGGGCCGGATTCGGCCGCGGGCCTTGTGTTTGACACCTGTGAGGCTGTTAGAGAGAGAAGTGGTTATTCTCTGACTTTTTGGTGAATCCAGGACAAACTTTTTACACTTCTCAGGGACTCTAGCAGTGAGATTCAAGCGAACATTCCTCATGACGACAATAATGCATCATATGTGAGGTGGTCAGCGGTTATATTCCCTCTCGCCTCTTACCATGGTCTGGAAGCAAGAGTGTAGTTGTGTCAGGAAGGGGGGTTTTCCAGCTAATGCCAACACCCTCTTCTCAACCATTGTGCATTCCACGTCATCATCCTGGATCACAACATCTTTCTTTAGGATCTTTATGGCATATAACTCGTCTGTGCCCTTCCTCTCCGCAAGTATCACCTATAAGTGAAAAATATGGAAGTTAGCACCATGCTGAAAAAAAATCTTTAAAGACTTAAAAATCACATGCAAGACACATAGGTGTACATAGGTAACACATAAGTACATAGGTGACTAACGGTGGTGGAAAACAGAGTCTAGCTGTAATCTAGCACTTTTTTTTTTTTTTTTTTTTTTTTTGAGTACATGACTTCCTGTGTCCCTCAATGGAGGAGAAAGACAGAAGGATTGCCCGGAGCTCTCCTTAAAGTGCATGTATGATCAATGTTAACCACAGCAATACCGAGCACTTTTACCCCCTTCCTGCCCAGGCCAATTTTCACGTTTCAGCGCTCTTACACTTTGAATGAAAATTGCGCGCTGTCATACAACATTGTACCCAAACTAAAATGTTTCATTTTGTTCACACAACTAGAGCTTTCTTTTGGTGGTATTTAATCACCGCTTAGGGTTTTTGTTTTTTTTTGGTAACTTAACAAAAAAGACCAAAAATTAAAAAAAAAAATTAAAAATTTTTTGTTTCTGTTTCTAAAAGTTTGCAAATAAATAATTGTTCTTCATAAATTTAGGCCGAGATGTATCCTGCTACATGTCTTTGGTGAAAATAACCCAAATCAGTATTTATTATTTAGTCTGCAGGAAAGTTATAGAGTTCACGAACTATGGTATATATCTGAATATTGATCAATCCTGAAGTACTGACAGCCAATCTAATTTCTTGAGGTCCAAGAATGTCAGAAACAGACAGATATCCCCAAATGTCAGAAACAGTACAGATATCCCCCAAATGTCAGAACAGTACAGATATCCCCCAAATGTCAGAACAGTACAGATATCCCCAAATGACCCCTTTTTGCAAATTAGACAGTCCAACGTATTTCATAAGAGGCATGGAGAGCTATTTGAAGTTGTAATTTTTTCGTGAGAATTTTTTGGAAAATGAAAAAAAATTCAAAAAAATTATTTTCACAATTGTTTTTTTACATACTGTCACCAGTGCAGTACAGTGTCATCATATAACTGGCTTGGCGGTGATCAGGGACACCGACTGGTGACAGTACGACAAACAAAAAATAGATCTTTTTTTCTATTTTTTTTTTTAGATTCTTTTTTCATATTGAACTATGACCAAAGTAGTATAATGTTACCATAGTAACATTGTACTACTTTGGGGAAGTGATTTCTTTTTTACACATTTTGATTGCTGAATTTTTTTTTCCCCCACTGTCCAATCCTCTAGGTGACAGTATACCCTGAGCTCGAGTTCACACTAATGCGTTGAGGAACTTGCAGCGTTTTCCGTGCTAATTCCGCACCGCATCACAATCGCACCTCATTCATGTGAACCGCTGCGGGTGTGTATGTTAAGTTAACAACTCCCCGAAATCAGTCCGCAAAACGCGGTGTGATGTGCAGAATCGGATCGCATAGGTGTGAATACCTATGCGATCAGATTCTAGTGCAGGCCCCAAAAAAGGATCCTGCACCTTTCTGGTGCGGATACGGTGCAATTTGAGCCATACAAAATGTACGGCTCCGATCGCACCGCACACAATTTGCATGTGATTTGCACAGGAATGCGGTGTTTACTTACAGGTGTTACAAATAAATCATTTTATTTATTCAGTGACTGTTTTCCCATTTGGGAATTTAAGCTGTCGCTTCTCTTCAATTAAAGGGGTGTGACTAAAATACCAGGACACTGCATTCGCCGGCCCTCCCGGACCCTGCATTCGCTACATCCGGGGCTCCTCGGAATTCGCTACATCCAGGCCCCCCCTTCCCGGTGCATTCGCTACATACCCCCCCCCCTGCAACTACCATCCGGCCTCCCGGACCCTGCATTCGCAATCCGGCCTCCGGACCCTTGCATTCGCTACAATTCCGGCCTCCCCGGAACCCTGCATTCGCTACATCCCGGCCTCCCCGGACCCTGCATTCGCTACATCCGGCCTCCCCCCCCGGACCCTCCCCGGCTGCATTCGCTACATCCGGCCCTCCCCGGACCCTGCATTCGCTACACAATTCCGGCCTCCCCGGACCCTGCATTCGCTACATCCGGCTCCCCGGCCTGCCCCGGCCTTCCCGGACCTGCCCTACATGGACCTCCCGGATGCATTCGCTACATCCGGTCTCCCCGGACCTGCATTCGCTACATCCGGTCTCATCCCGGACCCTGCATTCGCTACATCCGGTCTCCCCGGACCCTGCATTCGCTACATCCGGTCTCCCCGGACTCTGCAATTCGCTATATCCGGTCTCCCCAGACCCTGCATTCGCTACATCTTCGGTCCCCCCGGACCCAGCATTCACTACATCTGGTCTCCCCCAGACCCTGCATTCACTATATCTCGTCTCCCACAGTACACAACAACATGGAAATGTGATTATTTTATTAAATATAAACGGCTAAAATATCTTTTATCAGCAGTTAGAACCATCTTGTGACTTCTATCAGTTGTTCAGCAGAGTTAAAGCTTTTAGGAGGAGTTGTCATTCTCCCCTGATTGTCCTATAAGGCTGCATAACCGATCCTCTGTCTGGACAGCAATGATTGGCCCTGTGCTGATCACAAGCACTTTCCCAAGAAAAAGAAAAACTCTCTAGCAATACACACCAAAACTGACCATGTGCAGCTTGTTCCCAAGAATCTGTTTTATCAGCAGATAGATTGGGGACAGTAAAAAGGGAGAATCAGAGAAGTCAGGATAAAACACACTAAGGATTAACCCCTTAGGTTCCACAGTGAGTATAACAAGCAAGCTTTACTGCATATACAGACTGATTTTACTGTTGTGGAACTAGTAACACTTTAATACAGGATTGGCTTCTCATGGGCAACCCTAAACGTTTACGTTTCTGCCATTTTTACCTTATAAAAATAAATAAATAAAACAACCCGCTGTGGCCACCCTTAAAGCGTTACTAAACCCAGGACCCTGCATTCACTATATCCGGTCTCCCCCGGACCCTGCATTCACTATATCTGGTCTCCCGGACCCTGCATTCACTATATCCGGTCTCCCCGGACCCTGCATTCACTATATCCGGTCTTCCCGGACCCTGCATTCACTATATCCGGTCTTCCCCTGGACCCTGCATTCACAATATCTGGTCTCCCTGGACCCTGCATTCACAATATCTGGTCTCCCTGGACCTTGCACTCACTATATCTGGTCTCCCCGGACCCTGCATTCACTATATCCGGTCTTCCCGGACCCTGCACTCACTATATCTGGTCTCCCCGGACCCTGCATTCACAATGTCCGGTCTTCCCAGACCCTGCATTCACTATATCGGTCTCCCCGGACCCTGCACTCACTGTATCCGGTCTCCCTGGACCCTGCTTTCACTGTATCCGGTCTCCCGGACCCTGCATTCACTGTATCCGGTCTCCCCGGACCATGCATTCACTGTATCCGGTCTCCCCGGACCCTGCATTCACTGTATTCGGTCTCCCCGGACGCTGCATTCACTGTATCCGGTCTCCCCGGACCCTGCATTCACTAGATCTAGTCTCCCGACCCTGCATTTACTACAACTGGTCTCCCCGGACCCCTGCATTCACTATATCTGGTCTCCCCGGACCTGCACTCACTATATCTGGTCTCCCCGGACCCTGCAATTCACTGTACCTGGTCTCTCCAAAGTACACAGAACATGAAAATGCAATTATGTTGATAAATATAAACTGCTAAATACGTTTTCTCATCAGCAGTATATAGCAGTCTTGTGACTGCATCAGTCCTGTGACTTCTATCACTGTCCAGCACAGCAACTGGTTACAGCTTGTAGGAGGAGTTTTAATTTTGCACTAGGATGCAGAACCCCCATGACCTCTGTCTGGACAGTGCTGACTGGCCCTGTGTGATATCACATGCAATCTCCAAGGAAAAAAAAAAAACCTTTCTAGCAATATTCACATAACAAACTGAGCATGTGCAGAGTGACTCCAGACGATATGTCTTACCGGGAGATAAAGAGGGGGCACTGGAAGAAGGGGGAGGATCACAATGCAGTGGAATATCTCCTTAGGTTCCACAGTGAGTATAAACAAGCATGCTTTACTGCATATGCAGACTGATTTTACTTTTGCAAATATATTATTTTATTGACTAATTATTTTAGTGAATATAAACTGCTAAATACCTTTTCTGGATCAGCAGTATATACAGCGGAGAAAATTTATTATTTGATTCCCTGCAGATTTGTAAATGTGCCTACTTACAAAGAAATGAAGGGTCTATAATGTTTATCATAGGTGTATTTTAAATGATAGACAGAATATCAACCAAAAATCCAGAAAAAAAACACATACAAATGTTATAAACGGAGTTGCAGTTCAGTGAGTAATATAAATATTTGATCCCCAAACAAAACATGACTTGGTACTTGGTGGGGGGAACCCTTGTGGGAGGAGTGATTGCGCTTGGGGGGACACTTGGTTGGTTTTGCCCTACAATGCTGCCTTGACTTCTTTCTCTACAAATTCAATAAAAAATCGCAAGGAAAATTTGTATTATTTAGATAATATCATCTCATGAGATAGGAAACAGATCGCCAGTCTCTCAGGATAAACTCTCATTTCAGAAAAGGACGAGCTCTCCGGCAGGCCTCTTGTTGCAAACAAGAAATTAAATCTTATTGGGACATTCCATATCGGGTGCAAAATCAGCCAGGGCCATTGTCAGCCACGCGGCATGTGGCTACGTGGCTGAAGCAAAAAACCGCAGAATAAAAATAGTACCGCACCTCCATTGTTCCGCTACCTGGTATCTCTCCTAATGGAGACAATGAGCCCATGCGCGCAGGTGAGCCGCGTCATCTAATCACAGCTTGCAGAGGAAGAGCAATTAGCATATTTATAAGGTTCTGTCACAAGCGCCTCGCGAGCGACAAGCTTTTTAATAACGCTTTTCTTTATGTTTGCTCAATTAAAAAGGGAAGACGTATAGAAGCGCTGCCTTTCCACCTCCCAGCTGCCGCGCTTTAGCTTCGGCTAGCAGGTTCGCTGCTCCTCGCCTCCAACAACAGCACCAGCTGCGCCGATGAATGTGTTACCCTGCTTTGTTTTCCCCACATTTAAAAGGACTCTTTTCTAGCGATAGCCTGGCACGGCGAGGCCTACACTTTGTTCCTCGTTTACCATTACAGAGATTGCGGTTCTTACGGGGGGGGCGCGGGGGGGGGAGGGGGGGGGGGGCGGTTTTTTGGTTAAAGCTTTTATCTTGGCGGTTTCAAAACAATGTAAAAGTGGAAAAACTATTATTTTCATAATAGACATGTTGTCAAATAAACAAGGCTGAAGGAGATAGATGATGAATGGAAACAATTTGTTATTGCTGGCTGCGGCTCTCTGTCCCTGGTCAGCTCTGTCCTAGGGCCCCCCCCTTACTAATGGTACCAGAATGTAATAAAAGTATAAAAATGACTCTCCATGAATAGTTATTAATCTGTGAAACTTCATAAAACTGTGATGTCAGCATACTGCGCCTTGTTAGAGGTTCCTTAAAGTGTTACTAAACCCAGAACCCTGCATTCACTATATCTGGTTTCTCCCCGGACCCTGCATTCACTATATCTGGTTCTCCCCGGACCCTGCATTCACTATATCTGGTCTCCCCGGACCCTGCATTCACTATATCTCCCCCTAGGACTGCATCATCTATATCTGGTCTCCCGGACCTGCATTCACTATATCTGGTCTCCCGGACCCTGCATTCACTATATCTGGTCTCCCCCAGACCCTGCATTCACTATATCTGGTTCTCCCCAGACCCTGCATTCACTATATTGGTTTCTCCCCGGACCTGCATTCACTATATCTGGTCTCCCCAGACCCTGCATTCACTATATCTGTTCTCCCCGGACCTGCATTCACTATATCTGGTCTCCCCGACCCACATTCACTATATCTGGTCTCCCCGGACCCCGCATTCACTATATCTGGTCTCCCACGGACCCCGCATTCACTATATCTGGTCTCCCTGAACCCCGCATTCACTATATCCGGTCTCCCCGGACCCTACATTCACTATATCCGGTCTCCCGGACCCTGCATTCACTATATCCGCTCTCCCCGGACCCATGAATCACTATATCCGGTCTCCCTGGACCCTGCATTCACTATATCTGGTTCTCCCCCGGACCCTGCATTCACTATATCTGGTTCTCCCGGGACCCTGCATTCACTATATCTGGTTCTCCCCGGACCCTGCATTCACTATATCTGGTCTCCCCGGACCCTGCAATCACTATATCTGGTCTCCCCGGACCCTGCATTCACTATATCTGGTCTCCCCGGACCCTGGCATTCACTATATCTGGGTCTCCCGGACCCTGCATTCACTATATCTGGTTCTCCCCAGACCCTGCATTCACTATATCTGGTTCTCCCCGGACCCTGCATTCACTATATCTGGTCTCCCCAGGACCCTGCATTTCACTATATCTGGTTCTGCCCGGTCCCTGCATTCACTATATCTGGTCTCCCGGACCCCCACATTCACTATATCTGGTCTCCCCGGACCCCGCATTCACTATATCTGGTCTCCCGGACCCCGCATTCACTATATCTGGTCTCCCTGACCCCCGCATTTCACTATATCCGGTCTCCCGGACCCTACATTCACTATATCCGGTCTCCCCGGACCCTCTCATTCACTATATCGCTCTCCCCGGACCCTGAATTCACTATATCCGGTCTCCCTGGACCCCTGCATTCACTATATCTGGTCTCCCCGGGACCCTGCATTCACTATATCCGGTCTCCCAGGACCCCGCATTCACTATATCCGGTCTCCCCCCGGACCCCTGCATTCACTATATCTGGTCTTCCACAGTACACAGAACATGGAAATGTGATTATTTTAGTAAATATAAACTACTAAATGCCTTTTATCAGCAATTAGGGTAGTCTTGTGACTTCTATCAGTGTCCAGCAGAGCACTGGTTAAAGCTTGTAGGAGTTGTCATTCTCCCGATTGTCCTATAAGGCTGCATAACCCCGACCCTCTGTCTGGACAGCAATGATTGGCCCTGTGCTGATCACATGCACTTTCCCAAGAAAAAACAAACCTCTAGCAATACACACCAAAACTGAGCATGTGCAGCTTGTGCTCAAGGATCTGTTCTACCAACAGATAGATTGGAGACAGTAAAAGGGGAGGATCAGAGAAGTCAGGATCAAACACTGTTTTTACACAATGCAGAGGATTAACCCCTTAGGTTAGTTAGTATAACAAGCATGCTTTACTGCATATACAGGCTTTTACTTTTATGAATATATTATTTTGACTAATTATGTTAGTGAATATAAACTGCTAAATACCTTTTCTCATCAGCGGTATATACAGCGGGGAAAATATTTATTTGATTCCCTGCAGATTTTGTAAATTTGCCCACTTACAAAGAAATGAAGGGTCTATAGTTTTTATCATAGGTGTATTTTAAATGATAGAGACAGAATATCCACCAAAAATACAGAAAAAATGAAACAATTGTTATAAATTGAGTTGCAGTTCAGTGAGAAATATAAAGTATTTGATCCCCAAACAAAACATGACTTAGTAGTTGGTGGAGAAAACCCTTGTGGGCAAGCACAGAGGTAAGACATTTCTTGTAGGTGGTTACCAGGTTTGCACACATCTCAGGAGGGATTTTGGTCCACTCTTCTTTAGAGATCTTCTCTAAATCCTTGAGGTTTCTTGGCTGTCGCTTAGCAACTAAAAGTTTCAGCTCCCTCCAAAAATTGTCTATGGGATTAAGGTCTGGGGACTGGCTAGGCTACTCCATGACCTTAATGTGCTTCTTGGCTGTCACTTGGCAACTCAAAGTTTCAGCTTCTTCCATAAATTTTCTATAGAATTGAGGTCTGGAGACTGGCTAGGTCACTCCATGACCGTAATTTGCATCTTCTTGAGGCACTCCTTTGTTGCCTTGGAGGTATGTTTTGTGTCATTGTCATGCTGGAAGACCCATCCATGACCCATCTTCAGTGTTCTGGCTGAGGTATGAAGGTTCTCATCCAAGATTTTACAATACGTGGCCCCGTCCATTGGCTCCTCAATGCGGCAAAGTCGGCCTTGTACCTTTAGCATAGAAACAGCACCAAAGCATAATGTTCCCACCTCCGTGCTTGACTGTAGGGATAGTGTTCTTAGGATCACAATCAGCATTTTTCTTCCTCCAAACACAGCAAGTCAAGTTAATGCCAAAGAGCTCAATTTTGGTCTCATATGACCACAGCACTTTTTCCCAATCCTTATCTGAATCATTTAGGTGTTCATTGGCAAACTTCAGATGGGCCTGTACATGTGCCTTCTTGAGGAGGGTGACCTGTGCTGCAGGATTTCAGTCCACGGTGGCATATCGTGTTATGGTTTGTTTGGTGACTGTGGTCCTAACTGCCCTGAGATCATTTAAAAACTCCTCCCGAGTAGGTCTGGGCTGAATTACTAAAAGTTCTCATGATCATCCTTACCCCCGTGAGGTGAAATCTTGCATGAAGCTCCACACCGAGGGTGACTGATCATTCTTTTGTATGTTCCATTTGCGAATAATCGCTCCAACAGTTATCTCCTTCTCACCAAGCTTCTTGCTGATGGTCTTGTAGCCCATTCCAGCTTGTGCAGGTCTACAATCTTGGCCCGGATGTCCTTTGACAGCCTTTAGATCTTTGGCCCACGGTGGTGAGGTTTGAATGGAAGAAAGAGATTCTGTGGACAAGTGTCTTTTATACACATAATGAGTTGTCCTTAGGAGCACCTCCTTAAATTGACAGGACATTCTCCCTTTGCATTTTTGGCTGCCCACTTCTTGTGTCATTGTGGACATTTTCCCTCCCCTCCAAAAACAAGATTTCTTCATGGAATGTGCACCATAAGCCTGTTGTAGCAGAGCTATAGTTTCACTCGCACTTTTACCAATTTTCACACAAAATGTGATGTTAATCTGCTGCTCCAGATTCCTGTTACTCATT